AAGGTTATAATATGAAATGTGACTTTTTATACTCTGCAGACTTCTGTATTCCCACACTCTGACAATAGTTTCTATGTGTGACTTTTGAACACTTTTTAGGGAGTACTGCATGAATCATCAGAGATATCATGAGAGAATCTATGAGAGAATTCTGATGGTGGTGAAATCAAATTTGACTGGTGCAGTTTTCCTTTTTTGTTACCACTGAAACGTTACGTTAACTTACCAGTAAGTCTCAGTAAGCTGTTGAAATTTTGTTGATATTTTCTTTGACTCCAGGAAAAAAACGACACCATTATTCTCAATAAAGAACCAGTTTCTTTTCTTACAGCTCCTCATCATATCATCTTTGATCATTTAGCCACAGTGACAGAACTAGGACTATACCTTAATATTCTTTAACTGTCAGGGAGTCAGCTGCCAGGACCTTAAATTTTTGCTGTTGATTACAACACTTTGCAATCAAAAAATACAATTTCTGCTGTTTTCCAAAAAGCCACTGATACGACCAAATTCAACAATAATCAGTTAAAACAGTTCAACATTTTTGTCACAAAATACAAATAATTTTTTTCCACATTTGGTCCATTTGTGAACAGCAGTAAACAGCTTCCAATCATCTTCTTCATACTCACGATGTGCCCAAAAGTAATCATGGATTTCAAAGAATGGAATAAGATCTTTCTCATGACGCCACAAAATTTGCTCCCAGACGCCAGGACGTTTTTCCTCACAGAGCCTAGACCCAAGAAACTCAGCCATTTAGATTTAGTGGATCCAAATCTTGTGCTACGCCATTTAACTCCCGCTGACTTAGCATTGAACTCTCAGCTGGGGGCACAGCCATAACAGGGGGGACATGAGCTACTAGAAGATGAATCTTCAAAGTCCTCATCACTAGAATGTTGCACATCTGGAGACAAAACATGATCCTATCAACTGTGCCAGTAAAAATGGGAGGTGGCATTTCATCTGAATGTGGTACAGGTCTCTTTGCTGATGGGAGGTTAGATTAACCTTCCATAACCTACCTTATGTGGCCTGATAGATGATTTAGTTTGAGAACTGTATCCAGAAATATTGACTAAACAAAAGTCACCAAAGTGACTCTGTGGCTCCTTCCATACTACTGGAATACCAAAAGCCAAGCTGTTTCTTGGATTGGGCTTGTGGGCATCCTGGTTTTCTGTAGCTCAAGAAGTAGAGCAGGTCATCTACTAAGGTTGGTGGTTTGATCCCTGGCTGCTCTGGATGCCTCTGGATGTATTCGTGTGAGTGTTAAGTAGAAAAGCACTTAGGCATAGAGAAAGGTACTTATATGAAGGAGGCATGTTGTAAAAAGTGCTATATAAGCACCAGCTCATTTTATCATTCTCTTTTCCTTAGTCCATTTTTGCAGCTTTTTTCAACAAACTATCCTATCAAACTGAAAAGGATACCCATTTTCATACCAAAAAAAGCAAAATATATTTTTTTTCACAAAGCGCTTATGTTTTGTTGTTATTTGGATGAGCTTGTGCAGATATGATCCAATATGATGCAGGCTGGTGTATTCAGTGATGCCCCAGATCCTTCCAGAAGGCCTTTGGCCACTGGCATCAGCACCAGCATTTGGCCATGTATTACACCGCTAATAGTTAGCTATAACTGCCACTAATACGAGACACATTATAAGACATGTCTTTGAAAGACTCCTGAATTTACATATATGTGAGAATTTTGTAAGAACAAAGACGGTGGGACCTTCCAGAGAAGAAAAAGGATTTCTTAAGAATGGTGATTTGACTGGTGTTGGATAATACTGTTACTGCTTTATTCTAGTGACCACTGAAATGCAAGTTAGTGTACAAAATGCCTCAGATTAACTGCTCATAAGATGTGTTACCAAGATGGCTTCCAAGTGCTGAGATATGCTTCTAGAAGAATGTCGATATTGGTACACTGCCATCAATAAATGTCAACTCATATAGGTGTCAGTAAGGTATAAATTGAAAGTAAGACAAATATCTGGATGGTGCATTCTCTACACCCCTAGTAATTAGGTGTAATTTGTACCTATACTAATTAATTTAAACCTGTAACATGTTAGCTAAATAACAACACACACAGACAAACAGATCTGATTTAGTCATTCCAGCCAACAGAGACATCACAATAATGTAGCATGTACATAGTGTGGGAGATAATCCACTCATTTCCAAACAAAGGATTTGTGTTTCCTTCGAACATAACTGTAAACCACCAGCTGGCTCCATCACACATCCTGCCCAGCAGTGGAGGCAGGGGAAACTAAAATGTGACCAAAATGTGTGAGAAAAACAAGACCACACAGGGCGGGAAAAGTAAAACCCGTGTCACACATGTACATGCACACAGTTCCTGGTGAGGGTCATCTTTTCCAGTCTGTCACGATGCTCCCTTCACTGTCTCTGCTGTTATTTTCTCCTTTTTATCTTCAACTGCTTTTTTATCTCAGTACAGCCACAGTCTCCCGCTGTTATTGTTGCTTTGTATTTTACACGTGATGTTCAAATGTGTGTCAGCTATACCTTACATTAACAGCAATGATTCTAATATGATTCAGAGAATATGAGAATGTGCTCATGTGGTCTTCAAGCATAATTTTATAGTGATGTTTTTTGCTGTCAACACAATATTTCTGCAGTGACTAAGAGCTGCCGTGCTGAGTTCAGCATTAATATAGGACCACATATTTTACAAGCACCAACAATACAATGATTATTAAATAAAAACACAAACACGGGGTAACAATAATACTAAGCATGGACCTTTTAAGATTAATGGGCCTGTAATACGTTATATATACATAGATATATAAAGATATATATATATATATATGACACACGATATTATGGCTGTACGTCCACACACACACACGCGCGCGCACACATACACACACACACACACACACACACACACGTACGTACCACCTTACTATAATATTTAGCTCCTTCCTTCGCTCACATACACGTATAAACACAGAGAAACACAGGAAAGACAAGGCCTACCTTAAGTGTTGTTTTTCCTCAATTCAGCGGCGATGAGAATAACAACCGTCTGACCGGTGGATAATAGGTCGGTCACGGTCGGGTTAATATCCAGCCCTCGGTGTATCCTCCTCCGTAAAACCCCGGTACAAACCAGCGGACCCGTTGTTGTGCGCGAGGCGGATTCCCACACTTCCCAAATTCCCCGTTCATTACCGGATATTAATATCTTTTTATCAGTAGATGGACTGGTTATATTACGCTCATTATTCTCCTTCCACCGGTGAGCACGAGCTGACGTCTGAAGAGCTCCGGTGGCATGAGTCTCCTCCGGTCGACGGGAGGTGCTGCATTATTCATAAGAGGGGCGTGGCCAATACGCGGAGTGTGTGTGTTTGGGTGCGCGCGCGTGCTACAAACAACAGAATGCTTGGGCTGGGTTCAGTTATACCAGCGTAGTCGCCATGAAGCGCTCGCGAGAACGACATCTAGCGGCCAAAAGGTAATTTGCAGAAATAAATCTAATCAAAAGGCACATTTCTTTTGCTGGAGAAAGTCAATGAGCAACATGGTTACGTTATATGATTCGTAGAGTAACAAATGCGTGTTAATCCGCATGTGAAAATAGACCACTGTTGTGTTAGTGTGCTTGTATCAGTTTTTTGTCTCTGTAACGTGGTTGTTTTTTGCTTGTTTGTTTATTGTTTTTTCCTAGCTGACCTGTTCACCTGTTATATCAAGGCTTTAAGTTTGCACGATTTGGGCACGTTGAGTGACAGGTGAATCTAAACGATGAATCCTGAATGTCTTGCGGAACAAAATGATCTCATCTATAGACTCATCAGATCAAATTACATGCTTCCACTCATCAGGTGTTCCTTGGCACATGCAGCAAAGAGGAAATATTAGTCCCTCTTTCCCGGGGTGTTTCTCATGAAAGCCACGGATATCTTTTGCACCTTCACAGGACGTTACAGTGATGTATTAACAACCTCTTTTTTTCTCCTCTTGAGTAGTCTTTTCCAAAATATTGCTCAACAACTAATGAGCTTAGATGCATGAAGAGCTAACCAAACAATTTTCAAGCTACTTGTTAAGTGAAATATTGCTAGCATTTTACAAAACTGTCATTGAACAGCGGCTACTCTGTGTGATGCTTCCACAGACTGAATATAAAAATGTAGAGCCACAAAGACATCAGTGAATACTCCCGGTCATGTAGTCTTTCAGAGTGTCAACTTGTCTGAGAAACCAAGGGACATTGGCTCTGATAGGCTAGCAATGACATGGTAAAACATACCCTACTTTCAAACTAGCAGTTTAGACCATCATTATTTAACATGCAGTTCTTGTTTGAACCAAATATTTTAAATTTGGAGTCATCACAGCATAAGACCTGCTGTGACTGATTTTCAATTTAGCAATTCCATGGAGACCATGGATGGATCAATTATAAGGCATAATAAGGACAAAGACATCTTTCTAACATTCACACTGCACC